GAGAGAGAGAGAGAGAGATGAAGGGAGGGTTAGGAGAAGCCGTGTGGGGAGGGGGTTAAAGGCACGCCGCAACCAACGGGCTTAGGTCAATTGGTACAACGATGGCCTGTTGAAATGCAGACCGTTCGAACTCAGATGTTGAAATAGAATAATTGGGGATTACATGGGGCCAGTCAGCTCAATGATGATATCTCAATCGCCGCCGTTTATGTAAAAGAAAGAAAGAAGAAGAAAAAAGAACAGCCATGCGGCTGTGCTACATGGAGAGATCTTTTTTCCATTTTCTTTTTTTTTCGTTTTCTCTGTTTTTTTTTTTTTTTGTGTGTGTGTGTGTGTGAGAGAGAGAGAGAGATTGCATTGGTCAGTTGCCTACACCATGAATGCATCACCCATCATATTTGTTTTTGCGAGGGGAACTGCAACAGGTCATCTAGTATTCATTTGTTTTGTCTAGCCGTTCATCTCTGGATGGCGACTTGACGACATCAGTAGCTTAGAGCCGTAGACTTTCATGAGATCTTGCCAGTTCCGGTTGGTAAACCGCTTGTCTCTGTCACTAATTATTGACAACTGTATGCCATGCTCACTTACCCAGAAGTTGAAAAACTTCTCTACACTAACTCAGTCTTTGCCTCTGCGTGCAATGGTACGAAAACAACATATTTGCGAAATCGATCTATTATGACCATGGCTTTTCCCATGCCTTCTCCTGGTCCCTGTATCCATGAAGTCAATGGAAACAGATTCTTCGGGTCCTGCCGGGATAGGCAAAGGTCTAAGAAGACCTAGAGGTGCTCTTGTTGTTGACTTTGCAACCGCGGATGCACTCTATACAGTCTGCTTTCATGCCAGGCCATGTATACGACATCGATAGGTTGGCTAATGTCTTTTGCCAGCAGAGGTGTCCTTTTGTATCATGGCATTCCCCTAAGAGCAAATTGTGGATCTCTTCACTATTGGGGATGCATGATCAATCAATGACATTGGTCTTCTCAAAGAGTAGCCTGTTCGTGGTTCTATAATCTGGCTCGCTATCATAGGTTTCCTTAACTTTTCTCAGGAGATCATTGTAGATCGGGTCTTGAGCGTACCACCCATCTTTTATTTTATGTTGTAGATCTACTCCTATGTCCAGATAGTGCACTATTGCCCCAAAGTAATCAGCTTTCCTACTTAGGGCATCTACTACCACGTTATATTTGCCTTTGATGGGTCTCAACTCAAAGTCAAACTGGTTCATCTTTGCTGCCCACCTAGTCAATTTGGGTGTCATCTTGGTTTGTGTCTTAAGCCATCTCAGAGTAGACTTTAAAGTGCCTCCCAAGCAGGTAATGTCTCCAATGATCTAATGTTTGTCTGAGAGCGTAGAGTTCTCTCTCATATGCCGAGGTGGCTACTTTATGGGAAGGCAGCCTAGCTGACATGAACTCTACGGGTCTATAGCCATCGCCGTCATTCAGTCGTAATATGGCGCCTATGCCATATTGGCTTGCATCTGTCGTGACGACGAAGGGTAATGAGGGATCAACCACCTTGAGGACATTATATTTTTACCAAGGCCTTCTTTAATTTCTTTAAGGCCAAGGTGCTGTCTTTGTCCCACTTCTAGATCGCTTCCTTCTTTTATGAATCTAGCGAAGGCAGGAGCACTAAGGCAACAATGTGCTAAGGAGTTGTCAACTCTTGACTCATGAAACAGGCGGGCTTTCTTAATCCCACCTGAGGGGCTAGAGAGCCTGCACTCCTCTCGAAAGTGCAAAGTGGCTTCAACCGCCTCTCCTTAATCACTACCAAGTACTATATCAAAAGGGAGGTTATCTTCTAAGAGGAGAGTCAGGGAATGGATAACCTTTTCTACCTTTTCCTCTCCTTCTAGGCGAAAATACACCTTGACCCCCTCGACGTACTCCTCGATCCGCATCGTGCGTTATCTGTGAGGATACTGACTAAAGGCGCTTCCAACTTTTGGACTTCGAGGCTTAGCATAAACTTTTTCAGCGCCTTTCTGCCGATGTAACTCCTAGTGGCCTCACTATCTGTAAGGGCCCCTACTCTAGATCTACAGATCTCTACATCTGCTAACAATAGCTGCCCCTTCTCATTCTTCTTCATTTTGGCCCCGGCTGGCCATCTCTCTTTGAGCTCTTCGGCCAAGCTTCTGAGGGAAGAACCTAGAGAGACTCAAACACAAGCTCTCTGGGCAGCTAGCTAGGTGCTGACCAGCAACCTCTGCCATGGATACACGTGGAGTGGGAGTTTCTACTTCCCGCGGGCGCTCATCTGTACGTGCTCCTGGGGTAGGGGCAGCTGCCACCTCTATCGTCGATTGCCTTTTGCTACCCCATGTGCAACACGATTAGGCCTTTTGTACTTATAGGGCAAAATTTGAGAATGTGCCCAGGGTCTCCATAAAATATGCATTGGAACTTGTCCATGCAATCCTGCCAAACATTACGCTCTAGGCCTAGGGGTTCCCAGGGCCTGGCTTCAGGCTGTTCTAGGTGTCATTCATCCCTTTTGGGACATGACCGACTTGAGCTAGGGCGGTTAAGCGGAGGACCTTGAACCCTTCCTCCCACTCGGCGGTCTCTGTTGCCGCCAACCCCCTGGTTGCCTTGACCTCGACCACCTGAGGCCTGACCACTTCTGTCACGGCCTCGTCCTTCTCCTTGCGGCCTCCCTCTGGTCGTGACAACAGCGTATGAATTCCCCCTCTGTGCACTGGTGTCTTCTTCCTCAAGTCTCCATTCTATGTCTGTATAGGGGACTTCCTCTGCACCACCTTCCTCCATGGTTAGTATTAGACTGTCTTTGGCCTTGACTTGGTCAGAGATGGTGCGACCCTTCCACTTTTTCCCTTTAGCTAGTGGAAACTTGCCTACTAAGGAGATCATAGGTCATCCCAGGCTACTGCCTCTTGTTGAAGAAATGCCCTTGCAATTGCTCGGGGAACGCGCGGTAGAAAAGCTGGACTAGGTGTGCTTCTGTAACTCAATGGCCAAACATAGCAATGAGTTCGTCCATAGCGGCTTTTTATGCGTGAACACTTTTCCAAGGCCGCATATGGATCATTTGGACTTTGTCGAACGCCTTCAATCCTCTAGTGACATCCGCAAAGCGTTCTCGCACTGCAGCGAGAAAGTCGCTAAGGTTAGTAATGGCAGAATAGGCGACCATGTCATTATCGCAACGGGTGGCTCGTGCGAAAGACCTGGCGAAACTAGTCGCTTCGCCACTCAAAGCCTGAAAGGCTATTAGGATATGGCCGTCGGGAGGCACACTCTGTAAATACAGATATGATTTAATGCTAGCCTTCGATTGTCGAAGTTCTCACCCCTTTTCCCATTGTAGGGCTCAGGGAAGCAAACTTTGACTCTCTCGGCAGGGTTGTGGCTCTTCTTCCTTGGGGACTGCCATCTTGACACCCTCGATCGCACCAGTACAAAACTTCCATGTCGCATCTCGTTGATGAGATGAATCATCATCTCCTGGGCAAAGTCGTGGAATCCGGCTCGTACGGATTCAAGTGCTACATCGTGCCCACGAAGGTGTCTTATCTGTTCTCGCGCTGCCAAAAGAGAGGCCAAAGCATGGGAAAGGGTGTCAATCTTTTCCCAATTTCTTTTTCTTCTCCCGTCTGACCTAGCCGCACTTCTGCCGCCTTCAATTCCTCCTCCATCTTGTTTGCCATTTCCAATCGCTTCGCCTTCTCCTTCGCGAGGCACAATTTCCATTTTAACTGCCTCTCCTGCTTTCTGGCCTGACCACGCAGGGGGCTCCTCTCTCTTTCCAGCTCTCTTTCTACTGCTTCTCTTTCTGCTTGGGGGACAACCAACTTTGCTTCCCTATCTTCCCCTAGGGATAGTCCTGCCACCCATTCATTCACAGCCTTCTCCACCTCTTCCGGTGGGGCTAGACCTGTACTCGTTTCTCCTCTTTCCTCCTTACTTTCTTCTGGGGCCCTTACTCATTGCTTCTCTTTTCTTCTTTGCAGCTGGGTCCCCTCTTCCTCCTCTTCTTCTTCTTCGGCCAATTCTTTGACCAACTTCGCCTCCCGTTCCTTCTTCCACGCCTCCATCTCCTCCTCCATCTTTTCCTTCTTGGCCGCTTCTTCCAGCAAGACTAGCTTCTTGCCTTGTTTCTCCAGAGCTTTCTTCGCCTTTCTCTCCTTCAACTCCCGGAGAATCGCGGTGGCCTTCTCCTCCTGTTCTTTACTATACGGACGAGTCGGGAGCCCAGACTAGGTAGTCACATCACAGCAAACGGTCCTTCAAAACCCCAATGGGAAGAGGAAATGGATCAAGGGCCCCCAAAGGGAGAGGCGCATGATGAAGGCGAACATTGGGTAGTCGTCCATGTCAGACTGGGGCAGAATCACAGGTGATTCCGCTCCTCAACACTTAGACTAATCCTTAACAACTTAGACCCTGACCGCACTATAATGCCACCTTATCGAGGCTACCACTGTCGTCAGATACTTTCGCAACCACAGTCCAATCTTTCCACAACCGTTGGATGTCCGTGCCCCCCTGGCTTTGGCTTCCAATTGTCTCTCTGTCACCTACTCGATGCTATACTATTACTACGCATAGTCTGTCACTACAGAACTACTGGCTGATCAGGAGGCATTTAAGGAGATCCCCCATAACTCCTCAAGAATTATTTAACAAGCCAGAGTTCTCTCAAGACTTGGACAGACTGGATGCGCGACCTGCAGCTCGGAGCTCAGGTATAGTGTGTACCACCCAGAGCGGCCTGCCGGTCCGTACCATTCCTTGGGGGCTTTACCCCAGGTCGTCGAGCGTCGGATACACCTCATCCTACTAAGTGTCATGCAGACGTCGGCCTCTCAGCCTCTATCCGACCGCATACCTGGAACTTACGACTACCTGGACAGGAGTGACTCAATGCAGAAAGAGATGACAGACAACTTGCAAGACAAACTCGACTGCAGCGAGTACCAAGGTGAGTGCCCACCATCCATAGATCATAAAAGGACAAGTGAAACGACTTTCACCCTTTAGCAGTAGCGGATGCAGTACCCAGGGTTCGATCCCTAGACCTCACCCTACCTATGTACAATATCTGTATAGATCCCGAGAATTGAACCTGTGACCTGTGTATTCGCAGATAGTTGGTAAGTATGTCGTAGGTCCATAGGCAGTAGGGGTTCGATCTGTAGGTCTATAGCGTAGAAGTCTTAGTGAGTTCTGGAAGCTTAGCTGTAGACCTTCTAGAA